TATTCTGCTGAGGAAAGCAACGAGCATTATAATAATACTTTGTAATAGCTTGTGGCAGAATGTTTATTGTTAGACAGATTACAAACGGTGGAGGAATCCGCGAGGGCGGTACACCTGCGTAGGTGGCGCTGGCTCGGGCCATTATGAGCATCTGAGGAAGGACTGTCATAAATTAAGAGACGAGCAACGAGGGTTTAATGAAGCATTTTGTGGCAAAACTCAACTCATAATTTCAAGTTTTAAAGATTTAGAGTGGCCTTCGAACAAGTGTGAAAAGTATTTTAAGATTTAACCAACATAAAATTGTAGTTTAGCTAAAGCTGCCTTTTGTTTCCTTAAATTATATCCATTATAACAAAGTCAGTGACAAAGATAATAATACATACGATTTGCATTATTTAACACCCACGTTATCATATACACATGCATGCTTCTAATCACACTAGATTTAGTCGTAGAAGATGACCACTCAGCCTTGTGTGTGCCGCTAGCTTGGGGCTAACGATGCTATCGCTATTATTACTTTGCCTACATCAAATATAGGTCAACACAGTAACCACAGCACATATAACTGCCCTTTCTTAACACAATTGCCAAGTTTACTGTTGTTTTTAGATGTTTAATCTGCCCTATTAAGTCACAATATTCCTTGGAATGGTTGAACACTCACCATGTTGACCGGTCGCATCTGTGTGAATCCTGGCACGTCCCACAAGGCGCGCCCTTGTTTGGTTGATCTTCCTTCACTACTGCTGCGGGCAAAGGTAAGCTTTTTCCTCACGTCACCTTGCGCCTGTTTATTAGTTTTTTTCTCCTGTTAATGTTCTTACCTTACCTTAGACTAAGTTAATATGTACCTGTCTGGTCTTAGTCCGTGTGCTCTGTCATGCAAACGGAGCCTCCTCTGTATACTGTGTAGGACCAAAAGGTAGCTCCCGCTAGAAGCTACCAAACTCTTCCAAGTGTTCCCTATTAAATGTATATAGTTACGTGACGTGTTACACTGCAAAGTATAGTAACACAGAAATGTAACAGTCGATTTTTTCAGCGGATAAAACGGGTACTATATTGTGAGGCGTAGTAATCTGAGTAGCGCTGCGTCCGCGCACTAACTTCTCTCCGGAGACTTCTCTCTCGCTCACTTCCGTCAATAGAAGCAGCGTGACTTGTAGTACACACAGTAGCAGCGAGAGAGAAGTCTCCGGAGAGAAGTTAGTGCGCAGATAAGTTAGGAGCGCTACGTCCGCGCTTTAACGCAGACTCTGAGGTACTCGAGTATATGCCCCTGGGAAATAAAAAGGTTAAAGATAAAACCGTTGCGGCGGTCGGTACGGCGTTACTTTACTGAATTGTCGAGTTCACACGTTACTTTACTTTTCCTCGGAAAAGTGTAACACCTTTCAGAGTGTTTACTGTTAGCTTCTACGCTCATTTATTTACCTCCAACCCAGCTTTTGGCTACTTCACTACAAACTTTTCACAAGTTTGAAGGGTTGACTGCTGTTTTGCCAAATGATTCTCACACATGTGTACTTACCTACTTACATGTGCTTAGGATGGACTGTGAAACATGAAGAAGAATGGAACCTTTTAGAATCCTTTGAGTCCAAAATCCTGAGAGTACAGAGTAGAAAGTAAAGCTCTATTGCCGTGCTTGCTACATACATTGCAACCAAACAGCAGTGATAGGTTAAAGCAAAAAAAAAAGTTCTGGCGTTTCAACCTAAAATTAAATATAATGTTTAGTGGTCCCTTTTTTATCGCAGGATTTCTGTTCTAAAAAATAACCAGTGATAATAAAAAATCCTCTCAGTCGCAGCTGTATGTTGTAAAACCCCTCAGACACACTTTTTACACTTTTCTAACCTCCTGAAATCATGACTGCTGAAGTGCGATCACAGAGAGGCACCTGAGCGCTGCTGCAGCTGTCAAAAGCCGTGCATTAGAGTTTCGCTTTTCAGCCCAAGCCCGAGCAGGCCCGAGGCCCGACCTGAGTTTGGGCCGGGCTCGGGCCTCATTTGGCGCTCAGCTGTCGGGTTCGTGCCAGGCTCGGGCTTCTTTTTTTAAATATATGTTTATTTTTTATTATTTTTATAATTATTTTTAAATGATTTTTATACATAATGATTTGCATATATATATATATATTAATAACAATGTCCATTGATTGACAACAAGTTATTAAAAATAGTTAATATAATAATGACACCGTAACCAGCGTGTCCTACAGCAGCAGCGAGCCGTGAACGCATCATCCCCGTGTCTCCTGCTGCTGTGGTCAACAGCGAACAGGAACAATAGTAGAAATGGATCAAGTGGAGACAAAACAAATTCAAAAGTGGAGACTAAACTTGCAATTGGAATGTGAGTGCGTACAACGGGAAATCAGATGTGTCGGGTTCTGTCGGGCTCGGGCCTGTTATACAGCGTTCATTGGTCGGGCTTATACGGGCTCGGGCTTAACATTAGCGGGCTCGGGCCGGGTCGGGCTTCATTTTTCAGGCCCGAACGAAACTCTGCCGTGCATACACCGTAAAATACAGGACACCGTGCTGAGGGGCAGGAGCAGGACTGAGGGCTGCAGGAAGACCAGAGGGAGACTAGAGAGAGACCAGAGAAAGACTAGAGAGAGACTAGAGAGAGACCAGAGGGAGACTAGAGAGAGACCAGAGAGAGACTAGAGAGAGACCAGAGAGAGAGACCAGAGAGAGACTAGAGAGAGACCAGAGAGAGACCAGAGAGAGACCAGAGAGAGACCAGAGAGAGACTAGAGAGAGACCAGAGGGAGACTAGAGAGAGACCAGAGAGAGACTAGAGAGAGACCAGAGAAAGACCAGAGAGAGACTAGAGAGAGACCAGAGAGAGACCAGAGAGAGACCAGAGAGAGACCAGAGAGAGACCAGAGAGAGACTAGAGAGAGACCAGAGGGAGACTAGAGAGAGACCAGAGAGAGACTAGAGAGAGACCAGAGAAAGACCAGAGAGAGACTAGAGAGAGACCAGAGAGAGACCAGAGAGAGACCAGAGAGAGACCAGAGAGAGACCAGAGAGAGACCAGAGACTAGAGAGAGACCAGAGGGAGACTAGAGAGAGACCAGAGAGAGACTAGAGAGAGACCAGAGAAAGACCAGAGAGAGACTAGAGAGAGAGACCAGAGGGAGACTAGAGAGAGACCAGAGAGAGACTAGAGAGAGACCAGAGAAAGACCAGAGAGAGACTAGAGAGAGACCAGAGAGAGACCAGAGAGAGACCAGAGAGAGAGACCAGAGAGAGACCAGAGAAAGACCAGAGAGAGACTAGAGAGAGACCAGAGAGAGACCAGAGAGAGACCAGAGAGAGACCAGAGAGAGACCAGAGAGAGACCAGAGAGAGACCAGAGAGAGACCAGAGAAAGACCAGAGAGAGACTAGAGAGAGACCAGAGAGAGACCAGAGAGAGACCAGAGAGAGACCAGAGAGAGACCAGAGAGAGACCAGAGAGAGACCAGAGAGAGACCAGAGAGAGACTAGAGAGAGACCAGAGGGAGACTAGAGAGAGACCAGAGAGAGACTAGAGAGAGACCAGAGAAAGACCAGAGAGAGACTAGAGAGAGACCAGAGAGAGACCAGAGAGAGACCAGAGAGAGACCAGAGAGAGACCAGAGAGAGACCAGAGAGAGACTAGAGAGAGACCAGAGGGAGACTAGAGAGAGACCAGAGAGAGACTAGAGAGAGACCAGAGAAAGACCAGAGAGAGACTAGAGAGAGACCAGAGGGAGACTAGAGAGAGACCAGAGAGAGACTAGAGAGAGACCAGAGAAAGACCAGAGAGAGACTAGAGAGAGACCAGAGAGAGACCAGAGAGAGACCAGAGAGAGACCAGAGAGAGACCAGAGAGAGACCAGAGAGAGACCAGAGGGAGACCAGAGAGAGAACCAGAGAGAGACCAGAGAGAGACCAGAGAGAGACCAGAGAGAGAGACCAGAGGGAGACTAGAGAGAGACCATAGGGAGAGCAGAGGGAGAGCAGAGAGAGACCATGAGACCAGAGAAAGACCAGAGAGAGACCAGAAAAAGATTAGAGAGAGAGCAGAGAGAGACCAGAGAGAGACCAGAGAGAGAGACCAGAGATAGACCAGAGATAGACCAGAGAAAGACCAGAGAGAGACCAGAGAGAGACCAGAGAGAGACCAGAGAGAGAGGCCAGAGATAGACCAGAGAGAGACCAGAGAGAGACCAGAGAGAGACCAGAGAGAGAGACCAGAGAGAGACCAGAGATAGACCATTGTGGACACCTCATGCACACTTTGTTTTAAAATGGTCGTAAAACCAAGTCAACAATGGTTTCCCTTTTGTTTGTTCCTCAATGTGTTGTGATTCGCAGGAAATCAATGTAGAAAAAAGCATGTTCCTCTTGATTGGGATCATTCATACATGTATTTGGTAAAAGAAAAGGTCATTGATGAACAATTTTATTTTTTATTTTTATTGAAGAACATCATAAAACCGTCCTTGCTTGCTTTCCTTGCTGTTTTCTTGTATTGCTGCTTTCTCGCCTGTAGCGGTCTGACTTCACATGTTCTAGTCTTTCTTAGGTCCGTCTTGAACAGAACAACTTTACGGTCAGATCTAGTGTTTCATGGTCAAAACCAAAATCATGGGGAACATTCTACCTCTGGTCCTTTCATTTCTCATTTTCACCTTTTAAACAGCTGTCAATCACACTTGAGAAGGGGAAGTTCATCGGAAATGCCCTCCTCCTCCTCCTCTGTGGGACCTACAGCTGCTGAAGCGAGGTGTCAACAAGGAAATGAAATGAACAGAATGAAGACGTGTCCATGAAGAAGGTTCTAACCATGAGACTAAACCAGACCCGGTCCTTGTTCTCTCCCAGACCCGACATGGGACCTGAACATGTGATGTCTACTGTCCGACGCTCGCCCTCATTAGGTCTGATCAACCCCATGATGCCGACCGTAGAAACATTTAGATTTTATGAATTAGTCCTTTCCATAGTGTGGTGCTTACTCGTTGGTGGGGCTGGCAGCCTCCGGGACTTTCCCATGGACCCTGAAGTTGTACAGGCAGGTGTACTCCTCATGTCCATGGTTGCTCTGGACCTCCAGTGCCACAAACCTCACTACCTTGGGGTACTCCGGGATCTCGAAGGTCTGGAAGGACTCTCCATCAGCCTGGTACTGGAAGGTCCCAAGTCTGACAGCTGGTCCGTCCAATTCCTCCCGTCCATAAATGGAAAAGGTCTTGGGGGCTGACAGAATCTCACCTGTCACAGATTGCCCTTTGGAGATGTGTCCCAAAGTGACGTGTGACAGATGGATCTTCTGAGAGAGGGCCACAAAGAGGACTCCAGTCTGTCCAGAGACGGCCCAGCAGTGCCCAGGGGTCAGAGGGTAATTACTGCCCTTGATCACGTCTCTAGCAGTGAACTGCTTCAGTCCTGGGGGCGGGTCTTTCTGTTGATGTGTCTTGGAGCTGAGGGCAGTGAGGATCTGGGCCCCATGAGCGTCCAACGCAAAGTTCCCCTTGAAGATGGCTTTAGGGCTCATCCTGGTCTGGAGGCGAGCGAGCTCCAGATGCAGACTCTGCACCTCCGTCCTCAGGCGATACACTTTGGCCTCACTGTAGATCGTCAAACCAAACCCTAAGAGAGAAACCAGAAAGGCCAGGACCTTGTTCCAGCTCCAGCTGAACCAGCGGCCCGACCTCGGCGCTGGCTCCGTCCTGGGCACTAGCTCCGCCCTCCACAATGGCGCCCTCCTCTGGGCTGGTTGTGAAACACGGGCAGGCCTCGCCTTCTCCTGAGGCCAGGTGTGACGCCGGGTCACAGAGGTGTACGATGTGCGGGGGCTGCCGTCGCTATCGTAGTAACCGGCGTTTTCCAGTCGAACACTTCTGCGAGACATGATCCCTCTAACGCTGCTGCGAGGTAACTGTTAAAAGGACAGACCCATGGGCCGCGACCAAACCACACATGTTTCAACACATTCTAGATTGTTATGTCATACAGAGGTCTCCATGGCAACCAGAGAGAAAGACATTCCATTCCATTTGATGAGTTGGTTGCCATGGTGACTTAATTTTGTCCTTTATATTTCATTTACTAAATCTAAAGATCACATTCTACCAGACCAATTCACTAAGTCATTATATACTAGTCATTAGTCGTTTAGAATTTTCCACAAAATGTTCCTGTTTTTCAACAAACTGCCAATGAACTATATTTGCTCTGAAGTGCGACAACATTTGACCTTTCCTGAACACATTTAAAGAGTTATTCTTAACTAAAAATACATGTGTTTATGGTTTAAGGTTTTAAAATAGATTCTTCAATCTTTCTGAAAACAGCAGAATCAGGATTGTATTTGTTTGGTGGAATCTTTTTTATTGAACACATTTCACAAACAAAGATGACGCCAAACATTTGTTCAAACAGAGAAACACAGAAAAGTTACCCGCAGGTTTTACATGGAGTTTGTACCAGTTCTACCTGAACTCCAGCAGGTGGATTGCATCAGTGATCAGTGCGTGGGAGCCACAAGTCTCTCAGAGATTCCAGCAACTAAAGTGTGATCGTTATTATAAGGATTTCATTCTTTCTCTCATTCTTCGGCCATCAGCAGTAAGAAAACATTTGACATTCACAGATTGTAAATTTAATTACAGAGTGAGTTTGGCTGAAGTTCAACAAATGTAACAGAAGTAAGTAAGAAGTGTAGATAATATCTGAACAGTCTGTTAAAAGTATAAAAGTACAGCTTTTTCATGTAATGAAGACATTTTAAGCATAGTCTTTGAAACAATGTTTCATAATGACAAAGAAAACAACACTTTTGCAGAATGGTTTTCTTCGTGGATAACCTCTTCACAGGTGATTTTATGTAATTTTCAAAGATACTAGTTTTTTTTTTAACTGTAAGCAGTTGAAAGAACAGATATTTGTGAAAGTGAGAGTAAGTGAAAGAAAGTTGAAAAATAAGTAAAGAACTGATACCTGTAAAAATACTTAAAGGCACACCGTGTAACTCTTGGCCACTAGGGGCGCTAGACCTGCAACTTTCACGTTTAGCGCCCCTAGTGGCCACAAGCAACTCAGCACTGTCGCAAAAGTCAACAAACAGTCAGCCGGTGTCTTTTGAGTGTGTATTCAGACAGCATGCACTGGTGTGTGTGTTCAAACTGTAGAGACATGCCTACAGATATTGAGAGACTCTGCTGTGGTCAGCCTCCAGACCGCTGCATTAGTAATCTACCACACATGGACTTCTATATCCTGGATGAGGGAGTTCTGCGTCTAGCTCGTGCTGCGTGGAATGACATCTTTGCAGTCGATGACATCCAGGAACCAGGTGAACAGCAGCGCTCATACAGACATGCAGCTTACAGCACGATCCCTTTCGCGTTTCCTCTTTTTAGCCTCCTCCGAAGGTTTAAAATTTTTCCTTGCCTCAGCCATGACCAGGAGTCGAGCAGGTGAAAAATGAGTAGCAAAAGCCTTAGCTCCATGAGTATATCAGCGCCTGTAGCCGTAAAGCAAGTCTTTCTTCCAAGTCACGTGACCTGGTGGCAGACGGTCCGTCTGCTCGAAACTTACATGGGCGGTATTTCAAGAGGGCAGCCCCGCTCGGAGCATTGCAAGTGTCAAGCGCTGTATATTGGCCCAAGTATTCATATAAAATAACTCATATGTGTCAACTCTTTAGGTCACAAAGTCCGCGGTGTGCCTTTAATTATAGTACTTAAAGTATAGAAAATAATGAGAATTTCTGACCATGTTGTGTCATCTTTATTAACTATTTTCAATAATAATAATATTTAAAAAGTCAGTCCCCTTGGAACAAGCCAAACCAGTAAGATTCTGGCAGAGTGTGAGAGACGCAGCTGCTGATGCTGTCCCTGTGTATTCTGTGGAGAGGTGTAGAGGACAGTACGGGCCAAAGGACTGATGTGGAGCAACAATATCCACATGTGTGTGTTTGTCCTCATGGTCTCTGTGACTGGTGTGGTCAGACGCCAGACTTTATGAAAGAGAAAAACAATGTCCAGAATCACTGTCAGAGGGAGACTCTGATGTGGAAAAGTGCTGTGTGTGGAGCTGAGCTAAAGAGCATCAGCACAAACATGTTTCCCACGGGAGCCGCAACCCAAAGTGCTTCACATTGACAACATTTAAAATCAATAAAAAACATACTGTAAAAAGACATACAAATGGAAATTTAAAAAATAACGGTAAAATGGTGATCCGCTGCCTGACGATCATCAGTCATGGACTAAAGAACCGTTTTCAGCCTGGACTTGATATAACCTTCAGGAACCTTCAGGAAAATGGCTCCAGATTTCTCAGTTGGTAGAGCATTGGCCTTTGAGCCTGAAGGTCGTGGGTTCGAGCCCACCACGAGACCTACTCCACCAACTCCTTGTGCAAGACACTTAACCCCACTTTGCCTGAAGCCCCCGCTGAAAGATCTCAGCTCCTGTGGACTCAGCACCTACAGGAGGATCAGTGAGGGGCTGGTGCTCTGTGGACTGGGTGCAGCTCTGACTGCCACCCCCGACCCAGAAATGGATTAAGGGGAAGTAGATGGATGGTCTAGTCCCAACTCTGAGCACCAAGATTAACAGGATTCCCAGTGCCTGCACAGGACACACAGCCCAAACATCCAATGATTTATAAAAGAATATCCCAAAAATGTTTAGGGGTGTCCAAACTTTAGAGCCACTGTATACATTCACAAGCTGACGATGGTCCGGCCGTACCCTAACCCATACTGTCTGATTGGGGAGAGAGCCACACTAACAGGGGCCAGGGGTCAAGAACGTACAGCCATAATACATCTGCTGTAATCAATCTGACGCACACATGGCAGATATGACTCGTCCGTGTGCAGACAGTCGTAAATAATCCCACAGTTCCATCACATGACGCACACTCGGATGAATTATACATTGTGTTTGTGAAGCGAGTCTGCTGCGAATGCTTCAGGAACAGATCTGCACTGATCTCACCGCCTTTAGTCGCTGTGAGAGAACACGGCAAGAAGTGTGTCGCACAACAATGGGTTTGGATCGAAAACCAGGAATAATAATAAGTGTGTTTTTATGGTTTTCTCTCACCTGCGAGAGGAACAGCTTCCAGGTCACACCATAATATGACATAAATATGTTTTGTTTTATTCCAGTACTTCCTCGTCTGCGATCACCTCAGCAGCTCCTGTGTCCAGGCTCAGTAAGAACTCAGGGTGTAAGTCCACAAGAACTCTGTTAGTCCTGGTTTAGTCCTGGTTTAGTCCTGGTTTAGTCCTGGTTTAGTCCTGGTTTAGTCCTGGTTCAGTCTTGGTTTAGTCCTGGTTTAGATCTGGTTCAGTCCTGGTTTATTCCTGGTTTAGTCCTGGTTTAGTCCTGGTTTAGTCCTGGTTTAGTTCTGGTTCAGTCCTGGTTCAGTCCTGGTTTAGTCCTGGTTTAGTCCTGGTTTATTCCTGGTTCAGTCCTGGTTTAGTCCTGGTTCAGTCCTGGTTTAGTCCTGGTTTAGTTCTGGTTCAGTCCTGGTTCAGTCCTGGTTCCGTTCTGGTTTAGTCCTGGTTTAGTCCTGGTTTAGTCCTGGTTTAGTCCTGGTTCAGTCCTGGTTTAGTCCTGGTTTAGTTCTGGTTCAGTCCTGGTTTATTCCTGGTTTAGTCCTGGTTTAGTCCTGGTTTAGTCCTGGTTTAGTCCTGGTTTAGTTCTGGTTCAGTCCTGGTTCAGTCCTGGTTTAGTCCTGGTTTAGTCCTGGTTTATTCCTGGTTCAGTCCTGGTTTAGTCCTGGTTCAGTCCTGGTTTAGTCCTGGTTTAGTCCTGGTTTAGTCCTGGGTCAGTCCTTTAGTCCTGGTTCAGTCCTGATTTAGTCCTGGTTTAGTCCTGGTTTAGTCCTGGTTCAGTCCTTTAGTCCTGGTTTGTGTCCCTGTGACCACTTTGCTGCTCTCTGATTGGTTTCCCCAACTTTCCAATTTCATGTCAAATACTTTTGAACTTATTTTTAAAGTTGAAGTTTATTTTTAATCCTACCACTAGATGGGGGTGTTGCACATTACTTACTCCGTTTGTCATGTTCCTACACTAAACTACACAGTAAATGCCAAAGTCAATACTGTATGACCTGTCCTGCTCCACCCAGAGGCTACTCCACCTCTGCTGCTGTGACCCGTCCTGCTCCACCCAGAGGCTACTCCACCTCTGCTGCTGTGACCTGTCCTGCTCCACCCAGAGGCTACTCCACCTCTGCTGCTGTGACCCGTCCTGCTCCACCCAGAGGCTACTCCACCTCTGCTGCTGTGACCCGTCCTGCTCCACCCAGAGGCTACTCCACCTCTGCTGCTGTGACCCCCCTGCTCCACCCAGAGACTTCTCCACCTCTGCTGCTGTGACATGTCGAGCTCCACCCAGAGGCTACTCCACCTCTGCTGCTGTGACCCGTCCTGCTCCACCCAGAGGCTACTCCACCTCTGCTGCTGTGACCCCCCTGCTCCACCCAGAGACTACTCCACCTCTGCTGCTGTGACCTGTCCTGCTCCACCCAGAGGCTACTCCACCTCTGCTGCTGTGACCCGTCCTGCTCCACCCAGAGGCTACTCCACCTCTGCTGCTGAGACCTGTCCTGCTCCACCCAGAGGCTACTCCACCTCTGCTGCTGTGACCCGTCCTGCTCCACCCAGAGGCTACTCCATCTATCTATCTATCTATTTATCTACCTATCTAGCTAATATTCTCAAGCTCATAAGAATGCTTGTGTTCTAAGTCATTTTTAACCTATGAATTGTCTTGAAATCCACAAATGCTAACGAGCTGTCGTCCATATGGCCTGCAGAAGGCCGTGTGTGTGTAAACTTTGCAGGATGCACTTCTTGCCCTTTACCTTCATCCTCCTCCTCCTCCT